GATGTCATGAAAACTCTTTCTGACCCCAGATAGTGTAAAGGGAAACGCATTCATTCAGAGGCCTGGGAAGGAGAGTCCTCAAAGAGATGTTCTGTAAATCACAACTATTGTAGGGCTATACTAAGTGAACTCGAGTTCCTCGACTTTCTGCTACACCACTCAAGAACATGCTTAGTATCAACTTGCTTCCGTAAAGCGAAGATTCCTTGCACGGCAGGCGCTGGGGTTAGCAATTGGCCGCATGGAACTCTTCTGTATGTATTATAGGAGGTTTTAATGATGATTCTAAGCAGATTCACGTTTGCGGTGGAAGGGTTCAATGTGAAAACACACCGTGGTCTCAATGGGGTGCTTTAAGAGAGGAACAGCTTTACTAGAGGTGGCAATTCAAGATGGATGTTCACGTGTCGTGGAAATCTAGTGTACGTCCTGAAACAGACGTTTGGTGCACCGCTTGCGCCAGCCGGTCTGTGCTATCTTCTGTTGTCGAAAACCACCATCTCTTTGCCCAAGTGGCCGCCCCTGCGAGAGAGCAACAAGTTTCTCAACACAGCTGGGAGGAAGGACCTGAATGGAAACAGTTGCGACGCGATAGCTTTTCACATACTGCCGGGTCTTTCGCCAAGTTGTTGCGTTGCCTGCGAAGATAGTAACTAGTAGAACGACTGAACATCTTGGACAGAAAGCCCGTATGACGAGCGCACATGCATACCCCAAGATTCACCGCGGGTGTAGCTCTGGTCGGATACCGGAGAGTTTGGAGGTGGCTGACTTGGTAAGTGTTTTTTTAAAAAAGTATGAGAAACTGGTCGGTAGAATCTGGTAAACTGTTGAGAGTACCAACTGTGCTTTACAAAATATGGAATTTTTGAGTTAGTAATTGACTTCGTTTCAGTCAGAGAGAATAGGACCTGGAAAAAAAAAATCTTCTTAAGGATCAAGCTTGGCGGTGTGTTTTCTGTGAGTCCCAGACGATAAAAAGGAGAGAAACTGGAGAGGAGGCAAATCATATAGCGTAAGCGTGACAAGTCAGACGTTTGCGTGATAAGTCAGGACGAACGGAAACAAACTTGGCGGACGATACCGTGTTAGCAAACAGTGTCTTCTGTTCATTATTTCGTAAAGAACTTGCCTTCACTTGAACAACTTCCATTATTCAGAGAATACTTGGTAAGTGGTATGTGATGGCTCTTACAGCTCTATGATCACCATGGGAATATTTGATATTTAATCAATGTCCAAATCTCAGGGGGGAAATTCGAACTGCTAGGAGATTGCTTACGAACATACTGTTCCATTTGGTGGCAATTTCCCCAAACTTAGTTCCCTAGCACTAAAAGAGTGAGTGTTTTGAATAACCGTTTAACCTCTCCGTGTTGAAAATATATTGTAACGTTCCGTTCACAAACCATGGTGAACAATTACATAATTCAGGAAGACTCCGCGAACCATTCGTACATAACAACGTATAATCACAGGGGGACCCAGACAAGCGACGAGTCTGGTTGTTTATTCGAAATATAAAGGAATGTATGGGAGAATATTAAAGAGTCTTATTATCGTAAACTTATATCATGAAAACTTATATCATGGAAACTTATATCATAAGAAGGAGACAAGCTTGTCTTCTTCCTATAACGTATAGTAACAGTCGACGCAAAACCCACCAAATCGCTCAAATTCGCCATTTAGAGCCACAGAAACGACAATACACAGGAAGTGAGGTAGGTTTACATTTATTTTGAGCTTTAACTCAGACATTTCATGATATAAGTTTACGATAATAAGACTCTTTAATGTTCTCCCATACATTCCTTTATATTTCGAATAAACAACCAAACTCGTCGCTTGTCTGGGCCCCCTGTGGTAGAATGAGTAAAAAAATTGAGACGAACATTGCAAAACTGCTAAAATTTCAAAAATTTGCATTCGCAATTTTCATTTAAGGGTTTGTTCCTACTCACAAAGGCATTTCATGCTTGGAAATTTTCAGTCTCCTATACTAGAGAAGGGAAATAAACAGACCCTCTGCATACATTATTCGTAATACAAGTAGTGTTGAAGGCAGCGAGAACACTGAGCAGATTAAGACTAGATTTTGTGTGATTTCTATGCAAACTCTTAAAGGGTCTGCTTGAAGGTAGTGAATTTATTTCAACTTGCCAGGTTAATGGCTGCACCTCTGAGGAATGACAAAGAGTATGGTCGACCAGTGGCAGGATCGAAAACTGAGACTCGTGGAAGATTTGCCGGAGCTCATATCAGTCAAGAAGTAAAACAGTTATGCAAAATTATCGCACAGATGGGTGAGGAACAACCAGACAGAACTATTACCGTCACATTTCGACGGTTGTTTGAGAGGTATACCGGAATATCCAACAAAGTGGTGGGAATGTTACTCAGGGCACGGAAACAGAATTTGTTTTGCTTTGAAGGAGAAATGCTTTTCCAAAGGAGAGACGATGATGTTATCATTACATTACCGCGCATGCCTGAAGAGGTGGAAAATGATTCAGATGAATATTGGAACATCCGTGCAAGATAATTAAATATTTTATCGGAAGGTTTCGGACAATAATTTGTCAACACAGTAGATCTTAGCGTTAGTTAAATCCTTGCATAATCCTGTAAGGTCAAAGCTCTCTTAAGGGGAAATCGTCGTAGCCAAAAGCTCGACGGTTTCTACCCTACATTTTGGACTTAGCATAATTCTTAATCAATAAATTTATGTTATCGTGTGGTATGAAATCATAGGTGATTGATTAATTGATGCAATATGAATTTATTTGGGTGCACTTGTTACTTTTTTTGTGAAACTGTGGGTGGAGAGCTGTCTTCAGTTGTTGAAAAATGAAGATTATAGATGGCTCTGAACTTAAAGCACAAATTTAGAACAATTTTTACTGAAAGATGAATCTTAATATGCTGGTTGCAATTCCGTAAGAAAACCAAGCGATTATTTGTATGATCGTTGTTAGCTAATAGCGTAACTTGAACGCTATACGCGTTTCCCCCGATATACGAAGCTACTTTTACTTCATTTTATTTCTACAAAAAAAAAAAAAAGAATATGGAAAGAATACCTCTTTATTTTAAACGATACGAGCCTGAAAATCAGCATGGCACGTTGCATATGTAAAATAACTGTTTTCTCTTAATTGATTAGTTTTATATTTCTCAGTTAGTACGTTCATCATGATCGGTCAATATGCAGACCGTATTTCACTGTACGGCCTGACACCCTGTAAGTTTACATCC